GGGGGGGGGGGGGTCCCCAGTTTCTACACCCCTGTCCCTATTCAGCACTCCACTCTTTCTTTCATATTACAGCAATGGTTCATTGATGCTTTCCAACAGAAGCTGAGAAAATGGAATCTATTTCTACAAATCAGGCATCTACATTCCTCTATGAAGCTGTTTGAGCTACTCAGACCTTTTAAAAAGTGCTTTTACAGAAAGGTAAAGGCACTAACTGAATGGTTCCTGCAGTGATGGAGAAGGCAGGCTGAGGGTGGGGGGAGTGCTGGTGTTTGTTGATTTTTAAACCCTCATGAATCGTGCCTAAGGATTTTTCTTCCTATATCACTGTATTTCCCATCCCTCAATAGTAATTCTTGGAAGCATGGTGTATAAAAAAACACAAGGAAGTTGTATCTCAGAATCGCTAATGAAGCTGCGCAGCCCAGTATGTTTGTGAAACCGCATCTCAGAGCCCCTAATGAAGCTGAGCAGCCCAGGGCCAGTGTGCCTGTGAAACTACTGGCAGTTTTCCACCGCACAAAGTATGGTACTTTCGGTACATTTGCTTTTCCATTGACTTCTGGTCGAGTACCAGTACCGAAAGTTCCAGTACTGAAAGTCCCAAACTAGCTAGGGTACTTCTTTGGTACTTCGGTACTTTGGGGTGGGACTTGCAAACATATTTGCTGTCGATTGGTTATGCAAATAGCCTGCCGCTGAAACACGAAATACAACTGCCATCTTTTGAAACACAGCAAACAGCGAGAAACTAAATGAAAAGCAGTAGAAACAAAAATATAAAAAAACGTAAAATGGAAGGACGGACAAACGAGGAAACACAGGCTTTAATCGCCATATGGTCGGATGAACAGATCCAGCGAGATTTGGATGGCACCACTCGAAATAAAAAAGTATTTGCCGTAATAACAAGCCGCTTGGAAGAAATGGGGCACACGCGAAATACCGAACAATCGCAAAAAGCTTGTCGACCGAGCACCAGTCTCAGCTCGTCTTCTACGTTTGAATCCAGCGAAATAACAGCTGTTAATACCGCGCCGCGGTTTATGATGATGTCAGTCAGGGGTGGTCACTGATGATGTCATTTGTCGTCGGTGCCAGTTTTTACGCCAGTGGAAAACCGACACAAAATAAGTGCCATAGTTTTGCTATTTTATGGAAGTACCAAAAGTACGGTACATCGTGAAAAGCGCCCTATGTCTCACAGCCCCTAATGAAGCTGAGTGTACCTGTGACACATCACCTCTTTGCTCAGATTTTATTTTCTTGCATTTGTGTCCTCAAAGGCATAATATAAAATACATAGAAAAGCTCAGAAGTGCTAAAAAAAACATTTTTCCATACAAAATCCCAAGCAAGAAAGACAATAAAAGGATAAAGGATTTAACAGTAGATACATGGGCAGCGTAAGGAAGGCAGGTTCTGGGGTAGCATGTGCTGTGGGTACGGTGATGCTGCAGGGGGCGTGGGTGTGCTAATCAGATATATAGGTAACCTGCACAAGGGGTTTCATCCCATCGTTTAACCTCAGCCTTTACTGGTGTGGGTGATATTTCTTTGTCAAAGAGGAGCTACCATAATTTAGCAGGCTCAGCTTGCTGGGAGTCCACAGTGAAACTCCAGAAGTGTATATACGTGTGAGCGTGGGGGTGTTCACCTCATGTCAGTCTGGCAGTCTGTGTTCATGTCTGTGTTCATGTCTGTGTGCATTACTGTGAGTCTGTGTGTGTGTGCGGATCATTTTTCAGGTCCCCACAAATATCTGTGGATGCAATCAAAAAACTAAAAATGCCAAAAGTTTTGCATTTTGTTTGGTTATTTATGGTTAAAGGTATGGCTGGGTAGGGTTAAGGTCGGCATGTTGGGTTTAAGGTTTTCCCCATAGAAATGAATGGAGAGTCCCCACAAAGATGTAATTACAAACCTGTGTGTGTGTGTGTGACCTATGAGTAGTTCTGTCTGTCTCTGTGGCTTTTCATGTCTATCTATTGGATATCTATCACAGCGATTGCACCACCTGATTGTTCTCTCTGTCGCTGTCTGTCTGTCTATCTTTCAGTAAGTCTGTCAGCCTCCTTCAGTCTGTCTCTTCGTATCTCAGTCTGTCTGTCTGTCAGTCTCCTTCAGCCTGTCTGTCTGTATCTCAGTTTGTCTGTCTCCGTCTGTCTGTCAGTCTCCTTCAGTCTGTTAGTAAGTCTGTCTGTCAGTCTCCTTCAGTCTGTCTGTCTGTCTCTCCTTCTGTCTGTCAGTAAGTCTGTCTGTCAGTCTCCCTCTGTCTGTCAGTAAATCTGTCTGTCTGTCAGTCAGTCTGTCTGGACCTCAGCCGGGCTGGCTCTGGTACTGTTGCTCTGTGGCAGTAAAGAAGTCCTCCAGAACACTCCGCAGATACTCGAATGTGGGCCGGTTCTCTGGGGTCTCCTGCCAGCACATATTCATGATGCTGTACAGCTCCTGGGGGCAGTTGTCAGGCTGGGGCATGCGGTACCCCCGTTCCAGGTTCTGGATCACCTCGGAGTTGGTCATGCCTGACGGGGGGAAGAGGACACATGGGACACCCTCAGCCATCAGTGCCTCACCTCATTGAAGCATTGGAATGTTCTGGTAGGTCGGCATGGGTACCTGGGTACGGGATGCGGCCGTACGTCACAATCTCCGTCAGCAGGATCCCAAAAGACCACACATCTGACTTGATGGAGAAGGTTCCGTAGTTTATGGCTTCAGGGGCGGTCCATTTGATGGGGAACTTGGCACCTGAAAAGGGGAAGGAAAGCAGCAGGTGATTCGCCATGATGATGCCGAGACACTGTCCAATGCCGACATGCAGCATCACGAAGCTACAGTATGCAGACCCCCCCATCCCAGCCCTTCACAGAACCCCCCCATCCCAGCCGCGCCCTTCACAGAACCCCCCCATCCCATGCGCTCTTCACAGAACCACCCCATCCCAGCCACGCCCTTCACAATGCTTAATCCAAATACAACAGCATTTCGGTGACGAGAGCTGAAATAAACACTAGGTGGTGCTACACCAAAGCCATGGATTCACACTGTTCAGTGTGGCATATGAGATGTGGCTTTGGATCATGATGATACCACGTAGAAAGTTCCAGCCTGTCACAGTCAGAGGGATGTAACAAAGCCACCGGTCATAAACTGGATTTAAGGAAGCACTTCTTTACACAGCGTGTAGTCAGAGTATGGAATAGTCTTCCTGATAACGTAGTGCAAGCTGAATCCTTGGGT